GGAAAAGATTGATAAATTGGTATCATTGAAAGTAGATTCTGTTCATCAACGACACTATTGATAGAAGGGAAAACAAGCCAGAGTAGAAAATATTGGCAATAGATTTAAGAAAGAATTCATATCCAAAGGATATAGCCAAGAATGCCTATAAAGTGGTAAGAAAGAATCAAAAAAAGCAACTTAATAAAAATCTCCTCTGGGAAGGAAGGGACCAAAGACTTACACAGCACTCCATCAAAGAAGAATCTGGCCAGTAAGTATGTGAAAAGATGCTTAACTTCTTTTGTCATCAGAGAAATGCAGATTAACACAACAATCCTATATTACTACATCCATCCACCCCAAAATTCGTGTGGAAGCACAAAAGACCTGGAGTATCCAAAGCAATCTTGAGAAGATCGAAACTGGAGATATCACAATCCCAGATTTCAAGATATAAAAGCTATTGTAATCAAAACAGTATGGTATTAGCATAAAAATAGCCACATAGATCAATGGAACAGGATAGGAAGCCTAGAAATAAACCCCACTCCTATATGGTCAATTAATTTGTGACAAAGGAGGCAAGAAAATAACATGGGGCAAAGACAGTTGTATCAATATATGGTGTTGGGAAAACTGGACAGCTACATACAAAACAATAAAGATGGACCACTTTCTTACATCATACACAAAAAGAAACTTGAAATGCATTGAAGACCTAAATATGAGACCCAAAACCATAAAACTCCTGAAAGAAAACATTTGGACACTTGGACACTGCCCTTAGCAACACATTTTTGGAGATGTCTCCCAAGGCAAGGGAAACAAAAGCAGAAAATAAAGACTGGGATATCAAAATAAAAAGCTTTGCATATCAAAGGAAATCATCAACAAAACAAAAAGGGAACCTAGTAAATGCAGAAGATATTTGCCAATGGTATGTCCAAAAAGGGGTTAATATCCAAAATATATAAAGAACGTATGCAACTCAACACCAAAAACCAAACAATCCAATTAAAAAACGGGCAGAGGACCTGAATAGACAGTTTTCCAAAGGAGACATCCAGATGGCCAACATGAAAAAAATGTTGGGACACATGAAAAAATGTTCAACATCACTGATCGCTCGGGAAATAAAAATCAAAACTACAATGAGACATCACGCCATTACCAGTTAGAAAGACCAGAATCAAAAAGATAAGAAACCAAAGTGTTGGTTAGGTTGTGAAGAAAAAAGACTCCCCGTGCACTACTGGTGGGAATGCAAACTGGTGCAGCCACTATGGTAAACAGTGTGGAGGTTCCTCAAAAAATAAAAAAAATAGTACTGCCCTATGACCCAGTAATTCCAATTCTTTGTATTTATCTGAAGAAAATGAAATATTAACTCCAAAAAAAGATACACAGTTGACTTCTTTTTTAACTTTTTTTTTTTAAGATTTTATTTATTTGACAGGCAGAGATCACAAGCAGGCAGAGAGGCAGGCAGAGAGGGAGGAAGGGAAGCAAGCTCCCTGCTGAGCAGAGAGCCCGATGCGGGGCTCGATCCCAGGACCCTGGGATCATGACCTGAGCCTAAGGCAGAGGCTTTAACCCACTGAGCCACCTAGGCACCCCTACAGTTGACTTTTGAACAATGTGGGAGTTAGGGGCGCACCAACCCTCCACCCGTTACATAGTTGGCATATGTATCATCTACTGTATTCTTACTATAAACTAAGCTAGGGGAAAAAATGTTAAAAATCCTAAGAAAAAAATACATTTACAGTATTTTTACATACTTTTACATTTTACATACTTTATTTATTGAAAAAAGAAATTCACATATAAGTGGATCCACACAATTCAAACCCATGTTGTTGAAGGGTTAATGGCATGCACCCGCACATTCATTGCAGCATAATTTACAACACCCAAAGATATGGTAAGAACCTAAATGTCTACCAACTGATGAGTGGATAAGAAAAATGGAATATTATTCAGTCATTAAAAATGGAATCTTGGGGCGCCTGGGTGACTCAGGGGGTTGAGCCTCTGCCTTCAGCTCAGGTCATGATCTCATGGTCCTGGGATCAAGCCCTACATCGGGCTTGCTGCTCCGCGGGAAGCCTGCTTCCCCCACCCTCTCTGCCTGCCTCTCTCTACTTGTGATTTCTGACTGTCAAATAAATAAATACCAAAAAAAAAAAAAACCTTTATAAAAAAATTTTTTTTAAATGCAATCTTGCCATTTGTGTTGTGATGGACCTAGAGGCATTATGCTAAGTGAACTGAGTCAGACAGAAAAGGACAAATACCATATGATCTCACTCCCATGTAGAATAAAAACTAAAAAAACAAAAACAAAAACAGGGGCACCGGGGTGGCTCAATCACTTAAGTGTCTTAATCTTGGTTTCAGCTCAGGTCGTGATCTCTGGATCATGAGGTCCAGCCCCACACTGAGCCCCACCTTGGGTTCCACACCCAGTGGAGAGTCTGCTTCAAGATTCTTTCCCTCTGGGGCGCCTGGGTGGCTCAGTGGGTTAAGCCTCTGCCTTCGGCTCAGGTCATGATCTCAGGGTCCTGGGATCGAGTCCCGCATCGGGCTCTCTGCTCCGCAGAGAACCCGCTTCCTCCTCTATCTCTCTCTCTGCCTGCCTCTCTGCCTACTTGTGATCTCTCTCTGTGAAATAAATAAATAAAATCTTTAAAAAAAAAAAAAAAAAAAGATTCTTTCCCTCTGCACTCAAATACATAAATAAATCTTTTTAAAAATAAAAATAAAACCAGAAAGACAACAGAGCTCATAGAAATAGAAAACAGAATGTTTGGGGGAGGGGGGAAATGGGTGAAGGCAGTCAAAAGGCACACCCTTCTAGTTACAAAAATGTCACAGTGGGGCACCTGAGTGGCTCAGTGGGTTAAGCATCTGGCTCTCGATTTCAGCTCCCGTCATAATCTCAGGGTCATAAGATCAAGCCCTGGGCTCCGAACTCAGCGCTGAGTGGGCTTCAGATTCTCTCTCTCCCCCTCCCCCTGGACCCCCTTCTCTCTCTCACTCTCTTGCATGCACAGATACGAGTGCATTCTAAGATAAATTTTAAAAATCCTTTTTAAAAATGTCATAGGTATTTAATGTGCAGATCGTGATTACAGTTAAAAAAAAGAAAGTATGTACTACATATTTGAAAGTTGCTAAGAGCAACGCCTGGGTGGCTCAGTTGCTTAAATGTCTGCCTTCAGCTGACGTCATGATTCCAGGGTCCTGGGGCTGAGTATCACATCAGGCTCCTGGCTCAGCCTTGGTGCAGAGCCTACCTCTCCCTCTGCCTGCTGCTCCCTCTGCTTGTCTGGTCTCTGGCAAATGAGTAAGTAAATTAAAAAAAAAAAAAAAAAAAAGTTGCTAAGAGAGTAATCTTATCATTAGAAAAAAATTGCAATTATATAGTGACAGATGTTAACTGGACTCACTGAGGTGATCATCTCAGCATACACATATATCGATCATTATTTTGTACTACTGAAACTAATATAGGTCAATAATAAATCACTTTAAAAAATTATTTACTGGATTCACCTGTTGGTGGTGAGCAGGGAAGGAGTATTATTCTAAGTCTAACTGAAAAATACATCACTTCCCCTACTTAAAACAATTTGGGGAGTGTGGCGTGGTACATGTGGTGATTATTGTCGAGCTTTTGATTTCTTCCACTTTATTATTTCTTAAGAAGCTTCATCTTTTTACTTACTTTTTAAGTAATCTCTATGCCCAAGTTACGGCTGAACTCACTACCTGGAGATCAAGAGTCCCGTGCTCCACTATTAAGCCAGCCAGGCACTCCTCTTCCACATTATTCTAAACTTGATTTTATTAACATAAAAGGGCATGTGTATGTGCGATGACTGCCCTCTAGGTCGTTAAACCAGGGAAAGCAAGCAGGTGAGTGAGAACGATCACAATTTTTTATGAAGCAATGTAAACTATGCATTTAACATGCCTCCAGTTCTTATATGCCCTCATTTTTCAAGTGGGATAGTTTGCTAAAGGGTGACTTACCCCAAAATACTTTGCAAAGAGCAGTTGGTTTTTATAACCTAAGTTTGGCTCCAAAAACCAGGGCCAAATCAATGGTTTCCAAGGGGCTTTTTTGTTTTTTTAAAAGATGTATTTATTTATTTTTAGGGGAAGAGAGCCAGCTGAGGGGAGGGGCGGAGGGAAAAGGAAAAAGAACACGGAAGCCAGCTCCCTGGCGAGCAAAAGGGGCTGGATCCCAGGACCCTGAGATCATGACCCGAGTCCTGAGTTAACATGAGTTAAGCCTCAGCCTAGCTGACTGAACCACCCAGCCACCCCCCCCCAACCGGGTGGTTCTAATTCATAGTTTTTATCTGCATGCAACAAAATTACATTACTTACGATAAACTTAATTATTTTATAATGTGATATGCAAATTAAGTGCCCACCCTTATTCCGAGATTGTGCCTTTTATACTCTCGATATGAAACTGGCCTTTCTTTAGAAAAACGGTGCGAGCTCCTAAACGTCTTCTTTTTCCTGTCAAAATAAAAAGAGGGGACAACTCTGTTAATTCTCCAAATTTCTTCTGCTTTTAATGTTATCTAATCCATGAGTTTCAAAAGTCAAGACCCAATGCCACACCAAACCACCGTGTCTGCAGGGTTAAGTGAGGGGAAGTGAGTGCGGGAGCGAGGGACTCAGCGGAAGAAGGCCCGAGTTCGAGCCCCACAGCCGGGCGGCTAGGAGCTAAGGGCGGGAGACCGCGCTTTCCCGGGACAGGGCTCGCCGTCGGCGTGGGCCAGCCAATCCTCATGCGTTGTCATAGGCCGTGCTAAAGCCAAGGGCACACCCAGGAGGGCGGAGTGGCTGGGGGCCGCTCACCCCGTTTACAGTCTCAAAGCGAGACCCGGGACAGGACGCGGGCGGCGCGAGCTGGAGGAGACGCACGGGACGTAGCGGCGGACGAGGAGGTGCACGCGAAAGTTACGCCGCCAAGAGGCGCTAGGCAAACCCGAGAAGTCAAAACTCTCGCGATAGGTGAGGCTAGGCTCTCCGGAAGTGATTTTCCGGAAGAAGCATGGCTGCTCCCTAGATTTGGCCCGGCATTGCACGCTGAACCGCGGACGCCATGCAATCGGATGATGTGAGTGTCGTGTTTCTCTGCCACCTGGGTTCTCCTGCTTTAGGAGACTCGGAGACCACATACTCAGCTGGCCCATGCGATTAGCCTCGTTGCTACAGAACCGAGGCTTCCAGAACCACGATTTCCGAGCGTGGGGGCTCTCACGTGTCTACCCGGGATCCCCAGCCCGCAGCCTTATCTGGGTGAAGGGTGTGGAACACCGTCACTTCAGTCCACAGGGTTGGCTTCCAGTCTGTGATACCCAGCAATGAGGGGCTTGCCTGTGGTGTGGACGTGGGAGGCAGGCGCGGGTGGGGGGAGGTGGGGGATGGTATGGTCAAGTTTGGATATGAAATTTAAGGATCCCTTTCTTCCACATGTATGTTACTTTTAAATCTGCTATTTCCGTGTAAGGTTTTTTTGGTTTTTGTTTTGTTTTCTTTTTTTTTTTTTACATTTGCTTCATTATCTGCCTAAATCGTGAATTTTTTGGAAGCATACTCGATTCAGTTATTTAGTTACATGTATGAGAACTATTAAAGTGCTTATGGTGTGCCAAGCGCTGTGGTAATTACTGGAGATTTCGTTTTTAATAAGAGAACAAAAGACCTCTGTTTTCCTGGAGCACTCCGATGGGGGAGACAGATGGTAAACACGTGAACAAATTGAAAACCACTGTACTGTGTAATAATATTGTGAAAGAAAGACCAAGGTTGATGAAGTGAGTAATTAGCAGAGATTACTTAAGACAGAGCTGATCTGGGAAGGTTTCTTGAGTGGAAAACGTTTGAGCTGAGATCTAAAAGATGAGAATGAGCCGTCATTGAGGGGCTGAAGGAAAAGCCAAAAATCCAGACAATGGGAACCCTAAAATGCAAAGATCTGGAGGTAAGAGAGGGGGAGTATATTCAGGAATACCAGTGTGACCTGTGCTTTAGGAATCGCGGGAAGTGGGAGAGGTAATGAAGTTGGGTATGCTTGCATGACAAGAACATATAGAGTCTTGTAGGAAGTATTTTTAGGGCTTCTAATGGGAAATGACATCTGACTTATTTTGTGAAAAATTGTGTAGTTATGTGAGAGGCTTTTGAAGGAGAGGAAGAATGAAAGTAAGGAGATTAGAATATGTTGAAAGTTGTTTCAACCAAGGTAGTAATGGGAGAGAGGAAAAGAAGGGGATGAATTTGAGATCTATATTATCAGTGTAACTGAAAACACAACATGATCCCTTCAATGAAAAGGGGAAAGGAGAAATCAAAGGAGTTTTGGATTTGGACAAGTGATTCAGTGGTGGTTATATTTGTGGAGAGCAGGAAGGAAAACAGTATTTTGAGAGATGTGGAATTGAGAGCTTCATTTGGCTGTTAATGTGTGTCATGCCTCTCGAGCGTCCAAGTGGAGATGTCAGGTTGACAGTTGGATGTGTATATACTTCCGCTGGGGAGAGAAGTTTGACCAGGAGATGACAATTTGGGAGTCATCAACTTAAGATGATATGTAAAGCCATAAACTAGAATGAGCTATTTTCCCAGTTTGATTTCCTCTCACCTGTTTCCTGCCATCCCCCACCAAACACACATCCTATACCATTCCAAAAGTGTTATTCTGTTTGTTAACGTTTATGTTTTGGGCTTTGACTGCTTTAACTTCTTTAAAGCCTTTCCCAGTTCCTTAGCACAGCTCACTCGAAGGCTCTTATAAACTTCTTTTGAGGCCCTTAGACTGCTGCTTTGTGCTTTCCCCCAAGTAGATAGATAAAACTGTTTAAGGATTCTACTTTCCTTGATTCAACAAATACTTGAGTACCTCCTGTGTGTCAGGACTTAGAGATATCAGTGCCTTAATAAATTAAACATACAATCAATGCTGATCGCTTCTCGGCCTTTTGGCTAAGATCAAGTGTAGTACAATCAATGCTGAAAGAATAAAGAACACATTAGTAGAAGATAGCAGTAGATTATTTTCTTTTTTTTTTTTAAGATTTTATTTATTTATTTGACAGACAAAGATTACAAGTTGGCAGAGAGGCAGGCGGTGGGGGGTGGGAGGAAGCAGCTTCCCTCCTAAGCAGAGAGCCAGATGTGGGGATTGATCCCAAGACCCTGAGACCATGACCTGAGCCAAAGGCAGAGGCCTTAACCCACTGAGCCATCCAGGCACCCCAGTAGATTATTTTTTTTGCCAGATAAGATCAAATTATGGTACGTATATCCAACAATCTAGTATTCTGCAGCCTTTTACAATAGATAATGAACATATTAAGAAAAAAAAGGAATGTTACGAAATACATATACATCTCATTTTTGTTAAAGATATAGGCATACTGGTTGGTGGAAAGTACGTGTATAGAAGAAATTAAAAAATATTCATAAAATTCTAATGAAATTTTATCTATGGGTCTTGGTGTGATGGTTATTGCCAATTTGTATTTACTTTTTCTACAAGAACCTGTGTAAAAAGAAAATAGACTATTTTACAAAGCATTTCTTCCTCTCGTTCCTCAGACTCTTTTGAGACTTCCTCAGTAAACCAGCGCATTGTTTTCTTGACTTAATATTCCCATCTGTTGGGTCAGAGCAACTGAAATGGGTTTTTTCTTTGTCTTGTAGGTTATCTGGGATACACTAGGAAACAAGCAGTTTTGTTCCTTTAAAATAAGGTGAGTCTAGATTTGCAACTTAAACAAAGATTCCTTCAGTTGCCCTCTTGGTAGCCCATTTTATAACTTTTGCTCTTTTCCTCCCTTTGTAGAACGAAGACTCAGAGTTTTTGCAGAAATGAATATAGCCTGACTGGACTATGTAATCGGTCCTCTTGTCCTCTGGCAAACAGTCAGTATGCCACCATCAAAGAAGAGAAAGGTAAGTCCTTCGTTTTAACTTCCATGAGAACTAGTCAGCAGCTTTTAAAAGGATGTTCCTTAGCCTCTCTGTAAATAATACTAATGGCATTTACTTTATCCTGCAGGACAGTGCTACTTGTATATGAAGGTTATAGAGCGAGCAGCTTTTCCTAGGCGTCTCTGGGAACGGGTAAGACTTGGGACAAAAAATTATAATGGTCATTAAAAAGCGAAAATGCTACATGCTTTTTTGTCTTCCTTGACCATAGCTGTAATAAACTTTTAATTAAGATTTATTTGTTTATGAGAGAGAGAGAGAGTGTGTGCAATCCTGGAAGTGGGGAGTGGGTGAAGCAGACTCCCTATTGAGCACAGAGCCCAACACAGGGCTTGATCCCAGGACCCTGAGATCATGACCTGAGCCAAAATCAGGAGTCAAATGCTTCACCAGCTGAGCCACCTGGGAGCCCCTGGATTAAGCTTTTGAAGCCAACCTCATTAGGCCCCATGGGTATCATAACATTGATGACCTCATAATTTACTCTTACTCTTGAAGCTTTCTTTTTCTGTTTGGTAGGTGCGGCTTCATAAAAACTATGAGAAAGCACTGGAGCAAATAGATGAAAATCTAATTTACTGGCCCCGTTTTATTCGACACAAGTGTAAGCAGAGATTCACCAAGATCACCCAGTACCTAATTCGAATTAGAAAACTTACACTAAAGCGACAGTAAGTATTTAGATGATTCTTTTATTATATTTATTTTTTAAGTCTGTCTTTCCATGGGTCATGTTAGGAAAATGAGAGATTATGAAATCTCTAGTAATGACCTAGTAATGACCTCTAGTAATGACCTAAAAATTTTGGATCAATAAGAATAAAAGAACTTTACTCTGAATTTACTGAAAACTAATTTTTAAAAATAATATGAAATCCGCAGAATTAATTGAATATTTTCCTAAGGAGTGATGGAGCCTAATAATTTTTCATTGTGAGCTACAGAGAAAGCTAAAGATGGCAGTTTTCTAAAGAAAATTCTTTTTCCTTGTTAACTGAAGCATTAATCTTGGCATAGTGAATGCCCTCAGAAGTCTCAGAATGCCTACAGAAAACAAAAAGTGAAATACACATTAAAACACATGTGAAAATGTCTGACTTTTTCTAGCATTAAATACTTAGAAAATCGTTAAATATATAATCTTGTCTAGATGGAGCTGAGTCCTACAAAATCAACTCCAATCCTTTTTTCTTATTCTTTTTTAAAGATTTTATTTATTTATTTGTCGGAGAGAGCGAGCCCGTGAGCGCACGAGCAGGGAGAGTAGCCGGGAGAGGGAGAAGCGGGCTCCCTGCTGAGCAAAGAGCCCCACATGGGACTCGATCCCAGGACCCTGGTATCATGACCTGAGCCAAAGGCAGACACTTAACCTAACCAAGTAACCCAGGCACCCCTCTTCTCTCTCTTTTTTTTAAAGGAACACACAGAGTGTACACTTGGGTTTTCTGATAATGTGTTTTATCTTCCATAGGAGGAAACTTGTTCCCTTGAGTAAGAAAGTGGAACGGAGGGAAAAAAGAAGAGAGGTAATATATCCTTTTGGTATTCATAGCTTCTGTATTCTCACTGAGGGTAGGGGTGTGTAGTAGGGATCATGAAAAAGATTCAGTCACTATTATCTATGAACTGTTCAGACCTTGGGTTCACTAATGGCTAATACTGTTGTATCAGTTGTGTAAGATGTCGGATATTCATATTTTAAGATTATGACTTTCGAGGCAGGTTAAAATAAGGGTTCTTGGGGACGTATACGTGACGGAGGACAGAAGGAATACCTTGTCTGAAATTCTTGCAATTAAATGTTTCGGAAATCAGACCTTTGGTATGTTGCCTTTCTTACACATCACGTACTCCTCTCAGCAGGGTTTGAGCATTCTTCTCTCTCTTTTTCTCTCCACCCCTGACCCCCCGACCCAGCATGGTAAGCCTCTTTAATTCCCAATCCCTGTTTCCCCCATCTTCCCACCCACCTCCCCTCTGGTAACCATCTGTTTTCTATAGTTAAGAGTCTGTTTCTTGGTTTGTCTTTTTGACTTGTTTTTCCTTTTCTTGTTTTGTTTCTTAAACTCCACATAAGGAGTGAAACCTACGGTATTTGTCTTTTCTGACTTATTTCATTTAGCCTTATACACTCTATCCGTGTCGTTGCAGATGGCAAGATGTTGTTTTTTTTATGGCTGAGTAATTTATTCCATTGTACATACATATACGCTTCTGTATCCATTCATCGGTCCGTGGACACTTGGGCTCTTCCCATACTTTGGCTGTTGGGAATAATGCTGCAGGAAACGGGTGCGTGCATCCCTTTGAATTAAAGTGTTCTGGTATTTTTTGAGTAAATAGCCAGTATACGATGCCTGGCTCATAGGGTAGTTCTATTTTTAACTTTCTGAGGAGCCTCTGCACTGTTCGACAGTGGCTGCCCCAGTTCGCATTCGCACTAACAGTGCAGGAGGGTTTCTTTTGCTCCATGTCCTCACCAACATTTGCTGCAGTTTCTTGTGTTGTTGATTTTAGCCATTCTGACAGGTGTGAAGTTATACCTCATTGTAGTTTTGATTTGCATTTCCCTGATGAAGAGTGATGTTGAGCATCCTTTCATGTGTCTGTTAGCCATCTGGATGTCTGCTTTGGAGAAATGTTTGTTCATGTCTTCTATCCATTTTTAAATTCGATTATTTGTATTTTGGGTGTTGAGTTTTGTATCACTTCTTTATATATCTTGGATATTAACCCTTTCTCAGATACATCATTTGCAAATACTTTCACCCATTCAGTAGGTTGCCTTTTAGTTTTGTTGATTGTTTCCTTTGCTGTGCACAAACTTTATTTTGATACCGTCTCAATAGTTTATTTTTGCCCTTATTTCCCTTGTCTCAGGACACATATCTAGAAAAATGTTGCTATGGTGGATATCAGAGAGATGACCCCCTGTACTCTCTTCAAGGATTTTTATGGTTTTGGGTCTCATATGTAGCTCTTCAATCTATTTTGAGTTTATTTTTTTATATGCTGAAAGGAAGTGGTCCTGTTTCATTCTTTTGCCTGTGTTTGTCCAGTTTTCCCAACACTATTTGTTGAAGATCCTGTCTTTTTCCCATTGTATATTCATTCCTCCTTTGTGAAAGATTAATTGACCATGTAATTGTGAGTTTATTTCTGGGTTTTCTGTTCCATTGATTTATGTGTCTCTTTTTATGCCAGTACCATCGTGTTTTAATTACTACCACTTTGTAATATAACCAAATCTGGAACTGGGATACCTCTAGTTTTGTTTTTCTTTTTCAAGTTTGCTTTGCCTATTCAAGTTTTTTTGTGGTTCCATAAAAATTTTAGGGTGTTTTTGATAGAGATTGCATTTAATGTGTGGATTGCTTTGGGTACTATGGACATTTTAATAGTATTTGCTCTTCCATCCCTTGAACATGGAATGGAATGTCTTCCCAGTTTAATTTCTTCTTTACCAGTTTGGAAGCCTTGTATTTCTTTGTATTGTCTGATTGCTGTGGTAGGACTTTCAGTACTATGTTGAAGAAAAGTGGTGAGTGGACATCCCTGTTGAGTTCTTGACAATAGGGGAAAAGCTCTTTCCCCATTGAGGATGATTTTGGCTATAGATATTTCATATAAGGACTGTATTATGTTGAGTTGTGTCCCCTCTAGACCTACTTTGCAGAGTTTTTATCAAGAATGAATGTTGTGGGGCGCCTGGGTGGCTCAATGGTTTAAGCCTCTGCCTTCAGCTCAGGTCATGATCTTAGGGTCCTGGGATCAAGCCCTGCATCAGGCTCTCAGCTCAGCAGGGGTCCTGCTCCCCCACCTCCACCCCACCCCCCTGCCGCACCTGCCTCTCTGCCTACTTGTGATTTCTGTCAAATAAAATCTTTAAAAAAAAAAAGAGAGAGAGAGAGAGAGGATATTGTACTCTGTGAACTGCTTTTACTGCATCTGTTGAAATGATCCTGTGGTCTTTATCCTTTCTCTGAAAGATGTGATTTATCACGTTGATTGTTTTGTGAATATTGAACCACCCTCGCATCCTGGAAATAAATCCCACTTGATCATGGTATATGATTTTTTTTAATATATTGTTGGATTCGGTTTGCTAGTATCTTGATGATTTTTGCATTGGTATTCATGAGAGATACTGGCCTTTAGTTCTCTTTTTTTGTGGTGTCTTTTCTGGTTTTGGTATCAGGGTATTATTGGCCTCATAGAATGAATTTAGCAGTTTTCCTTCCTCTTACGGTTTTTGGAAAAGTTTCAGAATGGGTATTAACTCTTCTTTAAATGTTTGATAGAATTTGCCTATGAAGCCATCTGGGCTTGGACTTCAGTTTTGTGGAACATTTTGATTATTTCTTCAGTTTCATTGCTGGTAATTCATCTGTTCAAATTTTCTGTTTCATCTTGTTTTAGTTTTGATGGGCTATAGATTTCTAGAAATTTATCCATTTCATACTAAGTTGTCCAAATGTTGGTATATAGGTTTTGTTTTTTGTTTTTTTTTTAAGATTTTATTTATTTATTTGACAGAGATCACAAGTAGGCAGAGAGGCAGGCAGAGAGAGAGGAGGAAGCAGGCTCCCTGCCGATCAGAGAGCCCGATGCAGGGCTCGATCCCAGGACTCTGGGATCATGACTTGAACTGAAGGCAGAGGCTTTAACCCACCGTGCCACCCAGGCGCCCCAGCATGTAGGTTTTTATACTATTCTGTGACATTTGTATTTCTGTGGGGTTAGTGGTTATTTCTCCTCTTTCATTAGTAATTTGGGTCCCCAGGGTTTGAGCATTCTAATCTGATGCACCAGCTCTGCAATGAAATCTAAAAAGAGTCACACTAAATGGAATGTCAGAAAACTTTTTAAGGAGACTTGTCAGTTCAGTTCATTATTAGACCACTAAATTCAGTGTTTTGGATTTTGAAATTGGTTATAAGGAATTGACTGGGATTGTTTCTTTGAGGTTAACTAGGTGGCATTGTTACCAGATTAATATATACTGGTGGTACTACCATGCTATCCTGGGAAAAATCTAGTCAGCAATCACCGGCCTTTGTCACAGAGAGCAAGTCTGCCTGTCCCACGTCACTGGTACCTCATTCAAGTTGACTTTTCTTCTGCTTTTCAAGACCTAGGAATTAGCTCTTCCTTACAAGTTCAAATTTTCAGTTATTCTGGGTATTTGCTCTGCATACTTCCCCTCTACCAACAGACATTTCCCTGATCATTTGTCATGGTCTATCAAGAAATCACGCTAATAATTTGGTGCTTTTGTTCCCATTACTTATACAGAGTTTTGGACTTCAGAGCTATTATAACATTCATCTCCGAACTGTTCTGATTCCGCACCAAAGAAATCTTTGAACATATGCCCCCTGTATTACTTATGATATTATACACGTGTACTTGCACTAATAGGTATATAACTGACATACCTACTATTGATATAGTGAAATGAAGGTCTGGTTCTTTGCTGAGAAGGAATTTGTTTTTAATGAAGGGCTTTCGTGATAGGTACCTCAGAGACACATCAAGAAGTGCATTGTTGGGGCACCTGGGTGGCTCAGTGGGTTAAGCCTCTGCCTTCGGCTCAGGTCATGATCCCAGAGTCCTGGGATCGAGCCCCGCATCAGGCTCTCTGCTCGGCGGGGAGCCTGCTTCCCCTCTCTCTCTGCCTGCCTCTCTGCCTGCCTCTCTGCCTACTTGTGATCTCTGTCAAATAAATAAATAAAATCTAAAAAAAAAAAAAGTGCATTGTTGATGGTTTGCGTTAAGTACTGGCTCCACATTTTTTATTCTTCTTCAGCAGTTTTGTAGAGGTTTTTATTCAGATGTAGCTAGTGAGTTTGCTTCTTCCCCGATGGCTAAACAGTTGTTCTTGCAAGCCTTTCAGAGGAAATTAAGTTGTTCTCCTTCTACCAAGTAAGTTTGAAGACTTCTGAGAAATGTCAGTTTGGAAGATTTTTAAATGTGCTGGAAAATTATGTTTCCAGATTGTTTGAGTGTGATTTGCTGCATTTGTGGGAGACGTAGGTTTTAACAATGTCACTTATAGATATAATCACTTTTCTTTTTCAAATGTTCTATCCACAGAACAAGTTTAAAAACATTTTAGACTATTAAAATACGCTTTTCTCTTGAAAGAATAGAATAAGTGTATTTATTTTTTAAAGCTTCTATTACATATTACAGTCATTTGTCATCTTGGAAAATCTGGAACATTTTTTTGTGAAAAATACGTAACTCTAAGTTGTACAACTCTTTTTAAGTACTAAACAAATAAGCATAACTTTATAATCTCCAATGGTATTGCAAACTGTTCGATAATCTGTAAATTCATTTAAGCAAAATTCCAACTGCATATGCATGCTATAATCATGTGAATAAAGTAGTGAGATTCCCACGTTCAGACTCTACAGTATTTTTCCCTCTGGTTATCTTCCTGTCTCACACACAGCTATTTGCTTTATGGCCAGAGTTAAGGCATCAATGCTAGTATTCATAAATAGAACACTTAATTTTTAAAGAAAAAGTACATACACAGCAATTTTATCTATTTTCTGCCTACATGTCAGTGGATCAGCCTTGAGGTGTGAGCACCCACTTTAGCGAACAGTGCATGATAGCCTTGTAACTGATCACGTGCCCCAGTCTCCCTGTATTTTATCCTACACACTGTACATCATTCCAACAAAGCGTCAGTATGTAAGATTTTTAAAATCTTTTATGATATTTATATTGCTAATGCAGACTTAGGCGAGAAAGATAGACTGAGTTTAGATTTTTATGTTTTGATTGTGGGTGCAACAGGTTGATACTATGTATGTTTTTTTATGAGATCACTGGAGGAAGATATTTTTAATCTATTTTTGTCAGTCACATGGAATTTAGCATGGTTTTAGTAAAAGTATAAGTCTCTATTTCCCTTTCTCAGCTTTTACAAAATCTGTTTAAGGATTGCTCATTTTTTGGTTTTTTTATTTATTTGACAGAGGGTGAAAAAGCAGGGGAGAGGAGGAAGCAGACTCCCTGCTGAGCAGGGAGCCAGTTCGGGGCCTGATCCCAGGACCCTGGGATCATGCCCTGAGCTGAAGGCAGACAAAACTGAGCCACCCAGGCGCCCCAGGATTGCTCATTTTCTAGACACTTAAATGTATATAGACCCGCATGCTTTGTAGATCTATGAAAGGCTTTGTTAGAATTTAATTCAGAATGCTATTTATAAAACCACTGGAACTTTTAAAATTAAAAGGTTCCCAAGGTTTAAAAGCAGGAATATATCTGGCTGGAGAGGCATGAATCCTGGTGATAGCAAGAGTGGGGAAAAAGTGATTTTTTAAAATAAAAATTCCGTTTCTTCCACTTCTACAGACTGAAAAATGAGTATTAATGAAGTAAATGGATTTACTCAAATTTTTCTGTTACAGGAAAAGGCATTAATAGCAGCTCAGCTGGATAATGCTATTGAAAAGGAATTGCTGGAGAGACTGAAACAAGATACGGTGAGAAAGCTAGGAACCTTGGGATATAAATATTGTTTTTCAGACCAATAATAATCATGCTGGGAAACAGAAATGTGTTTTATTTTTGAAGATGCTGGAAAGATCTCCACTTTAATTTTGTTCTTGGAATAGAACAAATATATAGGCCTTGGCTTCCCCATTTTATTTGGTTGACACAAATGCATGATGTGTTCTGGTCACCCCTGACACTCCATTCAGTGTAAGAGACCTTTCTCTCTGCACCGTACTTCCAGTCCTGTTCACAGTGCAACAGTTCCAGATTTCTGTATAAAAGGCAGTCTTGATCCTCCTGCACACTACCCTAGTCATCTTAGGCTCTTTAAAATGAGTTTTTAGTTCTCTCTTTAAAAATTAGTGTCATTTACAAGACAAAAATGAATAAAACTTACTTTTCCCTTATTATTTTACATGTGTTCTAACCCATGGGTTTTATACACTACTACGTTTTCAGTGATGTGCTTCTATTCTTCATGGAAGTTACCCATTTGACTTTAACCACTGATTATTTAAAATGTGTTTTTAAAGACATTGTTGATTCTAGGTTTGAAATTAATACAGAAATACTACTACAAATCAAGTTAAGTATTCTCATTTGATCACTGAGGAATATGCTTATTGGACGTGGACTTCAAGTGTAAGACTGAGATGTCATTAAAGCCGGTGTGTTTCTGTTCTTCAGTATGGCGACATCTACAACTTCCCCATTCACGCCTTCGACAGGGCCCTGGAACAGCAGGAGACAGACAGTGACTCTTCAGATTCTGAGGAAAAAGATGATGAAGATGAAGAAGTAAGCCTTGTTTATTTTTGCTTCAGCGAGCAGGAATCTGTAGAACTAGATCTCTTTACATGTACTTGAGAGACAGAATATCATTTTCATTCCCCTAACCAAAAATAATTTTTGGTCATTTTTTTCTATCGTGAGGTTAATTTTAACTCAGCCAACAAACTACACAATGACAGTTTTGCTAATTGGAATTCTAAAACTTTTCCTGCTAGGGGACAAATGAAGAATCCTTCCTAGCTGATAGAATATACCATTAAGAAAACTACTGAAATTTATATAGGATTTAGTTTCACTATTAATATGGGGGAGGTACTTGAATGATTGCATTTTTTAGGAAAAGGCCAGATTTAACAAGTAGTTGCTTAATCACATGGAACACTCAGAGAGGCTCATAGGTGTACTTTTCCTGGTAGTAACCCTTTTTTGATTTTTGAAATTAAAATAGGTTTAATTAAATGTACATAATGTTTGTAAAGCTCTATCTATAAACTGATTTTTCTAACAAATTAAAATGAGGATGTTTTACTTCTAATAATTTGTATTAGGCATGAGAATTGATGTCCCTGAAATGTTTTTAAATCAGAAGTACTGAGCTTGGAAGTAAGTAGATTTTGGTTGAGCCTAGTAAGTAGACCATGAATCCGTCCGTTGTTTATACACTTACTTATCAAACAACAGTACTGGACATGTAAGCGGAATTTTCATTCTGTATTTTGAACTTAACAGTTATGTTTTATTTTAGGATGTGGGCAAGAGAGAGTTTGTGGAAGATGATGAGGTGGACGAGAGTGACATAAGTGATTTTGAGGTGAGATTTTGGGCCTTCGGGGAAAAGAAGGTTTCTGAACACACTGGCAGATAAATTTTCTGGTTCTAAATTAAGAGTACAGGGAAAGGAATCTGGGCCATAAATCTATCATTTTCTCTTTTCTTTTCCTCCCCATATCAGGATATGGATAAACTGGATGCCAGCAGTGATGAAGATCAGGATGATAAATCCTCTGTGGAGGAAGAAAAGGCCCTTGATGCCAGACATAAAGGCAAAACACCCTTGAAAGGACCGTTGCGGAGAAAGAGAGCCTATGTGGAGATAGAGTATGAGGAGGAGACAGAGCCTGCAACCAAGGCCAAAACGACGTGACTTCACCCCAGGCATTTATGAACAGGACTGAATATTTTCAACATCCTCCTTTCTTTTACCATAAACATGTACACACCTCCTGTTTTTGCTCTTTCATATGGCATTGAACACAATATTTGTGTTTTTAATATTTATGCTACTTCTATGGGGCAAGAAATCTGGGAGGAAGTGAAGGAAGTCTTAAGTTGTGAACAGAGTATTTTTATAGCATTGGCATATGCTTTGAAGTAACAGCTTGAGCCCAAGAAGCTTAACAGATGAATTTGTGGGTGTAAATATTTCTAAATTTTAAATGCTATCCACCCGTTTCCTTGGCGTTCTCCCCCCACCCCCCAACTTTATTTAGAAATGTCCAGATTTCATTTTTTTTCTTGTTCTCTCTTCCCTACTTCTGTGGGAATAAAAGTAGGAAAAAGAAGGTCTAAGTTATAATGTTTAGTATGAAAATACCTTTTTTTAAAAATCATTCTGTTTACACAGTTGGAACAAGAAGAAAAGCCTTCCTACTTTAAAAGTACGAGAAATTTAATTTCTGTCGTAGGATGCGCCTTCAGACACCTGCTGCACTTTTCTGATACAGTTCAGCACCTTGCTGTCTTCACAGCTTTGGAGAATTTTGGCCAGGAGACCCTGCAACATGAAACCAAATAGGCTTTGATTTTTTTTTTTGCTACTTTTCCTTTTACCTTGGTTCTTCTTTCTTGGTACCATACTCAAGGAATGAATGAAGAGAGAGCAGTTCATGGAACAGGCGTTAGTTAAAATGTGTTGGCGTGCATGGGTCCTGCTGGCTCAGGAAGAAGCGGGTTAATACCAGCCCATGCCAATTAGATCGGATTCAGGGCTCGAAAACTGCCTGACATGAAAACCGACACAAAGTTATTTGAATAAACTAGTAAAACAACAAATACTATTTCTAAATATTTTTAGGATATGAATTTCTTCTCATGCTGTTTTATAACTTTAAATTGAAGACTTCTGGGGAAGATTAAATGGGGGAAGAAATGAGGCAATAGTTTATTAAATATATATAAATACACACATAGTTATTATGTGCTTTAGCGCTGAAAAATTAACTTTTGTGGAATGTGAAACTAAAGGAAGAATTCCCATATGAATAAATAAGAATATGGAAAAATACAGTTGCCCCGGAAAAACTAGAAACATTTTTGGGATCTGAATCACTCTACTTATATTACTCCTTGGTGGCTTACAGCTCACTATTTCATCATTTAAAAAAAAATTCAGATGACTAAAATAGAACTTAAGTTTTATAAACTTAATATTTTGCATATTTTTTGTCTTTTCCCCCAGAGACCTCTCCTAACCCACTTGCCTTTTGGTCTAAATAGTTCTGAATAGCTTTAAAATAAGACTAAGGTGTTAATCAACCCCCTGTTGAAGGGTAGCGGTCTCCAAGGTGGGGATCTGAACCTTCCATGTTCATTTACAGACGGTCAGGCATGTGAACAGTTACAGGAATTACTTAAGGACCAGATGCAGACTCTCCTACCTTCACCTGTCCTTGAGAACAGCGGTCCAGGAGAATCAGGCAATCTGTGGCTTCCTCTAATAAGGCATTCTTAACAGGCTCAGGTGTAAGATTTGGATCCCTTGCTACATTGCATATCAGTTTTAGGAGAGCCTTCAGCAAGACCACAAGTCTACAGGAAATTCTGGAATCAAAAAGAAAAAGTTACGTTCATACTCTAAATCAGGATATTAAAGCAGATTTCAAAGGCCATCTAGGCCTTCATTTCCTAAATGACTTAAAGACCATGGAGCTAGAAGCAGAACTAGAGACCAGATACCAGATTTCTTAACTTCAAGCCCCCTTTTTTCCCTGCAGCGTAGTATGTACTCATACACACACTCTGCGTAAGTATACCTTGCTCCCTTCCAGAACCTGGTTCTACTATAAAGAAGTCATCCCTCCTGAAAAGGGAGAAGTGGGATCTCCCCTTACCAGGGGCTTAGACTTTGGGCCAAAGAGGAAATGGTCCACAGTACTTAAACTTTTATGCAGTCTTGGGCCTGGAAGTTAAAGTGGGAGAAATAAGCTTGGTTTCTGGGACCTGGGACCTCAATGTCAATTGGAATCTTCTGTCATTTAGTTCAGATCCTGGCTTACCGTCACTGAAGCCCAGCATATTTACTTCAACTTACTAGTCTTTCTGAAGGTTTTTATCTTGATTAAAAAAAAGTTCTGGAAAACTATAGTGGTGATGATTGTACAAAATTGTGAAGGTAATTAATGTCACTGAGTCCACTTATTTTTTTTTCTGGGTCCACTTTTAAAAAGTTCATTGTATGTACTTCTTTTAATAATAAAAAACCCTTAAAAGCCTTAATCAGAGCTGAAAAATAATTTGTAGTGGGAAATATGCAAACTAAACTGTTTGGGAGAATAACAGTCTGCATCTCTTCACCTAATAAATATTAAGTGGTTTCCTACATTGTTTGCTGCTCAGCTCTCCTACCTGTCCTCAACATAAAACCTGCTGTTTCCCACTCCCCAGCCCCCCTCCTTCCACATAAGATATCATCTTCTAACTTTCCCACTTAGGCCTGCCAATCTCGACTTGGGCGCTTAGTCTGCTCTTTAAAGGCCGGGCAGCATTAACTGGATTCGGTTTCATTCATCCGTCCACTCAGTCTGTTCCAGTCCATTCATTCTTCTGATACTGGTGTATTTAATAACCAGGTACTGAGTAAACTTCTGTATACTCCATATCCCAGAGTGGGCTTATAGTTCAGTAGGGGAGAAAGACCGGAAGTGAACAAAGGCAGTCCAGTTACAGATGTAACTAAAAGTAAAAACTACGGTTCAGAAAAGATACAGATGTTGGAGCACTGGACTCTAGGTGAATTGAACTTTGTTGTCCAGCAAGAAAGTGTTTGTTGACAAAACATGTTTGGGTTCCAGTTTTTTGTTCTGACCCCAATCTCCAGCCGGAGTTGGAATGCTTCTAAGCAATCACATCCTCAATTAGGATTCATTCATCCTAATTCATTCATCCTGGTTACTGCTCGGCAAGTGTTCAGTAATGTGCAATGAAGTTTTCTACTTTCAGATTTAAAAAACTCTTAAGGTGAACGAAGTTAAGTGTGTCTACCGTAGCACTTCTAAGCGGCCTTTGAAATTCTAATATGCATTATAAATCTAGAGAGATTGGGTGCCTGGGTGGCTCAGTGGTTTAAAGCCTCTGCCTTCGGCTCAGGTCCTGATCTCAGGGTCCTGGGATCGAGCCCCGCATTGGGCTCTCTGCTCAGTGGGGAGCCTGCTTCCCTCTCTCCCTCTGCCTGCCTCTCTGCCTACTTGTGATCTGTCTCTGTCAAAGAAATAAATAAATTAAAAAAAAAAAATCTAGAGAGATGTACCCCTGCAGTAACAATGGGTATATTTTACCTTTTCAATGTGACTTCCTCAGTTCAAAACCTAATAGAAGTGTAAGCATGGGAAATATTCAAATACAAGGCACGTCCTTAAGACTCTGTACTGAAAGTACACATGGGCGAGCCTGGGAGAGAAAACTGGTGGAGCTCTGTCCCTCTTGGTGCACCTGCCTGCTTGGCTGCTTTACCTGGGCCATGCACACTGCATGAGAAGTTTCAGAGTTTCCAGTATCTTCAATCTAGCCTCCTCCTCTGGCCCGTCATAAACCTCCAGATAACTAATGATGACTCGCTCCAGCCTCTTCAAGTGACGGACAGTTAGGATCCCCAACCTAAAAAGTAAAGAGAAAAGGTGGCACCAAGGAGATGAACTTGAAGAGCAGGCCAGACCAGCAGCCCAGGCACTCACCTCTTCACAAACGCTGGGAGGTTTCTCGCATAGGTCCTGCGTAAGAGAAGGCGGTGTTCCGGCTCCATGTGGGTCAGGATCAACCGCAGCACCTCATCGCAGTGTGTGGTGGGTCGAGCGGCACCTCCTTTCCAGTGCAGGCCTTTCTCCAGGACGGGGAATAAATCCAGCAGACACAGGAGCACAGCCTAGGAGGCAGTAATAGAAAAGAACTGTTTGCCCATTTGCATTCACATTCGCTGACTGGTCTTGCGACTTTATCAATCCATCCTTGGAGTCTGTGTCAGAATTCTGAAAGATACAAGTAATACATGAAGTGTATTTTACTTTATATTTTCAAGCTTGTTTTACATAATCTCCAAACAAGTTAACACCTTCTCTTCCAGACTCCTCTTTACTATGAAACAGGACCTTATGGGTACAGCTGGGACTTTAACCGAAATTGTGGGAGTCTATCGCCACTAAGTTTCTAAGCCTAACTGGCAGTTACATGTACTCACAATTAAACTGCTCTTAGAAAGAATCTATAATGGTCCTCAACTGTGTCCAGCTGGACTACCCTATGTGAAGTTTCAGTGTGCAGGCACTCCCTTCCAGCTCTCTTGGGATTTTTGGTTTTTCCTCTTAGTTTTGTTTTGTTTTGTTTTTTAAGATTTTATTTATTTATTTGACAGAGAGAGAGAGCAAAGGGAGTGTGAAAGGGAGAAGCAGGCTTCCCGCTGAGCAGGGAGCCCGATGCGGGGTTCAATCCCAGGACCCTGGGATCATGACCTGAGCTGAACGCAGACGCCTAACGGCTGAGCCATCCACGCGCCCCTCAGTTTTGTTTTTAAACCATTGTCTAAAGAACTCTAAACTTCTTAACTGTCAGTACCTGGATTCTCAATTTAATACTTAAATTAATATTTAAAAAGAAAGGTGGATGGGGACGTGGGGAAGGGAGGAAAGGCATAGAAGAAAGCTTATTCCTACCTCTGAGTTTATATAACTTGTTTCTTCTGTCTTTAGAATGTTCTTGCCCCTCCTCAAAAACTTCTGTTCATCCTTCAAATATCATTCCTTCCCAAACGCTCCCAAAACCATCCCAACACCACTGAACCTGGTTAGCCACCCTTTGCTGGACACACACTGCACTCTACACAAACCTCTTCTTTTTTTTTTAAAGATTTTATTTATTTGACAGACAGAGCTTACAAGTAGGCAGAGAGGCAGGCAGGGAGTGAGAGGGGGAAGCAGGCTCCCTGCTGAGCAGAGAGCCTGATGTGGGGCTTGATCCCAGGACCCTGGAATCATGACCTGAGCCGAAGGCAGAGGCTTTAACCCACTGAGCCACCCAGGTGCCCCACACAAACCTCTTCTAAGCAGATTTATCACACTGTACTACAGACATGTATAAATACTCATTTATTTACACGTCTTTCCAAAGGGTTTCTTAAAGCCAGAAGCTCTGTCTGATCCATTCACTCCTGGAACCCACGATGGTTACTCACACACAGCAGATATTCAGTGTCTTTTGGAAGGAAGAATGTCACTGTAATACCCAACATACAAAGAGTTTCAAGTATGTGTTGAAACAAAGAAGCAGAGAAGGACACAAGTTAATAAAAACAGAACTTCAGACAAAGCAGCCCTCAACTGATATAAAACTGACCCAGATGGAGACAAAACACTGGCTCTGTGGAGACTCAGAAATGTGGATGCCTACTTAGTATTGAGACATCTCCACTACTCATTTGCTACTGCTTTACTTTCAAGTTGGCTATGACTTAGTCATCATCCTCAATTTCCAAAAGAGGAAAATGTGTCTCAACTATTCTTACTCATATAATACCAACTTCTACTCAAATTTGAAAACTGAGATTCACAGTAGTAAACAAATCGTACAATTACCTGAACGAGATTGTACTCTGGTGTGTAGAGGTGGTTGAAAAGGGCATGGTATAGGACCTGGGCTCTGTTATACTGGAGCAAATCAGCAGCTGGCTGCAAGCAGACAAATTACCCAATTAAAAGTTTCCGAACATTGCAAAATGTTGGTAATTTTTAAAAATATTTTATTTATATAAGATTTTATTTATTTGTCAAAGACAAAGAGAGCAGGGGGAGGGGCAGAGAGAGAAGCAGGCTCCCCTTGGAGCAAGGAGCCCAATGAGGGACTCGATCCCAGGACCCTGGGATCATGACCTGAGCTGAAGGCAGACGCTTTACTGACTGAGCCACTCAGGTATCCCAGATTTTACTTATTTTTGTGAGAGAGCGCATGTGCACACAAGCAGGAGGGAAGGGCAGAGGAAGAAGCAGACGCCTCACTGAGCAGGGAGCTCCATGTGGGGCTTGATCCCAGAACACTAGGATCATGACCTGAGCCAAAGGCAGACACTTAACTGGCAGAGCTACCCAGGCACCGCCCCAATGTTGGTAATTTTTGAAACTGAAGTATGGATACACAGAATTGATCATGCCATAGGATTCATTATATCACTCTCTACTTCTGTGTATATTTTAAAAACTCCGTAATACACAGTTAAAAAAAAAAGTTTACTTGAGTCATATAATAATGGCTTGCACATTTGGATTTAACTTCTTTCAGTTTCTGATTTTTTTGCTTCTTGGAAGTCAACCTGAGTCAACTCAAGGTCTGGTTATTCAGTTTGACATGCAGGATGATGGCCCAGGTGTCTTATACATGTTACTTATGAGGTATAATCTACTAGGTTGGCAGGAAGAAAATACAAAGAAAAAATATATAAATAAGTCAATGTAGCCATAACAACATTAATAGAAGTTAATAAAAGATATAAAAAGACAACGATAAAATGATATCATGATGACTCAACCCGTCCCATCTACACAGATGATACAGTGCAAGGCTGCTTACCACATTCAGCACAATGTGATGGAGGCAGTGTACACCCAGTATTTTGTTCTCGGTTTGATAGTCATCCGAGATGAGCAGTGATGGGGGAAGTATCCTTTCCAGATGTTGGTTCAGCCAGGGTCGGGTGACCTGTTGCAGAGTCCATGAGAAAACATGTCTGGTGGCTGGGTTATTCTTCCAGGATTCCCTACATGGAAATGTGAAACCACATTAAGTAAAGTGACGTGGTGTTAACTAGCAAAGAAAATCAACCTCTTCAAGCTAAAGAGACCATTTTCTTGTCCTTGAAAAGAATACATCACATGTAACTCTTGGTGTTATATATTTTAAGATTTGGATCAAAATAACTTATAGAACTTGCACTAAAAGAGCAAAAAACAAAAAACCCAATACTAAATACATTTAACAATCAATCAGCCAGGGCTCTAGGTCTAAAGCTTATCCAATGAAAAGGAGGCATTTAGAACAGTAGCTTGTAAAAAATCTGTGGTGATGGTGTGGGGGGTTACAGGGAAGACCTGTTAAGAAGAGAGAAAGGAGTGGGGCGTCTGGGTGGCTCAGTCAGTTGAGCGTCTGCCTTTGGCTCAGGTCGTGATCCCAGGGTCCTGGGATCGAGTCCCACCACCAGGCTCCCTGCTCAGTGGGGAGCCTACTTCTCCCTCTCCCACTCTCCCTGCTTGTGTTCCCTCTCTCACTGTCTCTGTCTAATAAGTAAAATCTTTAAAAAAGGTGGGGGAGGAGAGGAGTAAAAGAAATACCTTCAGTATTATTTTAAGTATAACAAGGGAGCAAGTGAATCGAGATTTGAACAAAAGCAATTTACAGCTTATAAAGCGGGCTTAACCACGTTACTCAACCTTCAAAATAACTGTGTAATAGATAATACCTTTATATTACAAAAAAATGAAACAGGTTCAGAAAGGCTCTCCGACCCGGTCCTACTCAGAAGCAATAAAAAGAAGTACGAGCCTATCCCAAAACTTCAAGTTCCTGGTAAAATGACAGTTATGTACACAGTTTTTTCTCATCACTCTCCTCCTACTAATAGTAACATATAAAGTAGCAAGTGGAACTCACAGAAAATATTTTAGCTAGTAGCAATCTGAAGGGCTTTTTTCATCCCAAACATCACTTCCTTATCTAATAACTAGTGATGAGTTTCAACATCCCTAATTTTAAATTCAAACTCTGAGTTTAAATCCTCTCCAGATCCCTATCCTCACCTAACTTAAGAAACTTGAGTATAAATAAATGGGACAGAACTTCCAGTGTCCAGGGCAGTTGTGAGAACCGGAAAGAGCACCAGGAAATGGGAGTCTGAAGACCTGGGCTCTAATGTCCAACTTGCCAATACCCAATAATGTCATTTATAGAAAATCGCCACCTTCCTGGGTCTTAAGAGACCCGCTATTATCAGGACACCTTTATCTTACCATCGAAGAAACTCAGGTTCCTTTGAGCTCTAACAATTCTAAAACGTTAGGATGAAGCTCGAGTTAGTGGCCCCTTTGACAAAAATACTCACTTATTCAAATCTGGTTTGAGAAGCTCCATTACTAAAGTAAATCTCCCTTTCTCATCTTCATTTTCTCCGTGCAGAAATCCTGCCACGGAACCACACTGAGTAACTCGGAGGAGTAAGGAGAGCACCTCTCCAGCAACGTCACGGGATCTTGGGCAGGTCCATGGTTGCTCCAAGCTGTGTGTAACGGCGAAAATATAGACGGGTCCTGCCAAGTGACGTAGGCCTATCTTCCACGTAGGACAAAGCAAGGAATTCTTGGCCGCCTCAATTTTCCCCATTAATTTAAGAAACAGTACCCCAACTGCTGCCCCCTTCTCAGCCACTTCAGAGTAGCCATGAGCTCTACCTTCCTGCTCCTTGGGTGGGGCTGCATACTTCCCCAGGGCTTTTGCCACCTGCCCCAGCATCTCGGGCATTCCGCGCAGCGACGTGTCGCTCCCCTCAAATAACTGATCACATTCTGCCGCTTCTATTAGAGCACCGAGGTCCTGAATTGCTGCACTTCTGGCCTTGCCCCGTCGGGACTCCTCGCTGGTAAGACGGTGCAAAACCTGGGATAAAGACTGTCCAAGGGCGGAGGAAGGCGGATCTCCCGGCAAGGAAGCGTCTTCCCGCGATGGGTTTTCCCGAGAGCTGTCCTGCTCCATTCCTCAGCTGGCAGCAGTGATGAGCCGGTCTCCTCCAGAGAGCCAAGATGGGACGCTGATGGGGATCTGCTGGAGAAAAAAAGATCAACCGGGGGCTGGAATTCTCCCGAAGAACGCAACTAAAACCAAATAAAACTGCAAGACTTGGGGACTGGGGGGTGCGAGTCTAATCCGCGAGAGTACACTCTGCGTAAAGGAAAAGATGGAGGAAACGGAAAGAAGCCTCTCTGGAAGTAACAGAAGCTCAGACTCCCAACAGTAGATAAATTATCCTTGCCTTCCTAAAGATTAAAAACAAACCAAAGAAAACAAAAACCCTACGAGTTTTAAAAAATAAATCCTTAAGGCATGACACATGCACCTCCAAGGGCGCCTCCAAACCCTCCAGTACCGCTCTACCTATTAGGATCCGGACCCAGCTCGCCTCGCTGCCGCAAAGCACATGGCTAGCGTCCGCCAATACTCGGGCAACACTCCGTCATTTCACGACCGGCTTGTCGTAAAGCAACAGACACCCAGCTTACCACCAAAAGGTGGAGTTGGGGCGGAGAAATTTGCATATATATATGCGCTCGCTAATTTGGTTCTGTTTTAATTTACGAAGGTAGAAACAAAAGAAAAATATCGAAGATATTTTAAAAGTATACACTATTTTACTGTTGAGGCCGAATATATAAGCATAAGTCTGTCACCCTTTCTTTAAAGTCAGTGGGACATCCTCAGAATCCTTTAGTGATGATCCTGACTTGATCCTTTTGTAGTTCATAAGCGTGATGATTGGGTGTTCATGCCTCTGTGTGACATGTGCCACCCTGTAAACCTTGTTACGATATCGGCACATTACCCGTCTGACGTGAACTTATGGGATCCGTTTTTTTCAAGTTCTATGGAAAAAGAAGTAGAAATTTCGGTGTTTTTATATTTCATATGCAAGTTGATAAAGCAACCTTGTCCCCGGCTTCCTAAATTTAGTAGATAGCTATAGGCTGCTGCAAGTCAGATGCCAGGGTCGGGAGAAAACTTGGCCTGTGTTACCTGACCCCCCCACCACCCAGCCGCGGGGCCGCGGGAAAAGGAGGGGTGATCCGAGCGCTCCCAGCGGGCCCGCGGGTGAGAGCTTTGTGCTCTGGGGAAGCCCCGCGCAGTACTGGGCCTGGGCGGCAGGTGGCGTCGGCAGCGAGCCGGCGCGCCGAGGCGATCCGCAGGTCCAAGCCGGGGACAGGGGGCACAACCACCTGTCTTTGGTTCTGTTCGACAGACGAGACGAGGCGGAGCAGGGCGGAGAGCCACTGCCCAGTGCGACCCCTTGTCCTTGCCCGTGTCATGCTACGTCGGCGCTTCTTGTCCCCCCGCTGCAGGTTCCTTGAGTGTAAAGCTGTGTCCAGCTGACCGGCGCGGGGCCCGCCTGGAAGGGTCAGAGGGGGACCCTCGGCGGGCAACCCCGCAGCTCACGGCCGCTGCTTAAATCCTCGCTGCGGGCGGGGCGGGCTGGGCCGCCGCCGCACACCCCCCCCCCCCCGGTGCCTACAGGCCTTGGGATTCCTGCGTCCCTCGGGGCCAGAGAAAACTCTGCAGGATTTTTTCGATTTGGGGGGCGGGGAAGGGGGGCTGGGAAGGGAGGTGTCGACGGTAGTTCCTCCTCCCCTGGGGGTGATCATGATACTTTTGTCCCACCTGGGGGAGAGGGCGCCGCTTGCGAGTGTCCTGTCTGCCCTGTCCTCCCGTGCCCCCTTCCTCGTCCGCTCGCTGCGTGCCCTTGGGGGACGAGTTCAGTAACCTCTCTGTGCCGCAATTTCTTCAGCGGTAAAATGCGAGGCGTCATAGTCCCTACTTCTCAGAATTGTTATTTAAGAATAAAGGAGTTGATTTAAGCATGTGTCCACAGCTTACAGCGATCTCGGGTGAGTGTTGAATTCAATGCCGGCGTTAATTGTTAAACCACAGCTGATATATTAATTCACGTTTCCTCTTTTGAGGAAATTCTGTGGTTGGGACCCTACCTCTCTGCGTCTTTCATTTGGCCTTGCCTTCCCTGACCAATTGGTGGCACTCAAGATTTTCTAAGTAATTTCAAACATTGATTTAAAAAAAAAAAAAAAAAAAAAAAGAGTTCCTCCCGTGGGGATTCTCCCATATTAAGGTCCGTGTGAGAGCAAGATGCCAATCAACAGTGTCATTGTGTCCCGCCTGTGTGTGAGCCTGTCCTGTTGCACGCACCCTCTGTGCTCAGTGCATCCAAGAGCTCACTGCCTTGTGAGCAAAGCGCTTGTATTGCGGGGGTCTCCCCCTCTTCTCTCTGAGTTTCCTGAGGCCAGAGACCATCTCTTTATCCCCAGTGCCTGGCACGATTTAGCCATGCAATAAATGTTTGTTGAACCCACAAGTCTATCCACAGAAGATGGGCTGAATAAACCACCGGCCATCCACACAATGCACTTCTGTGCAGCTTTACAAAAGAATGAAGCCCGTCTCTGTGGAAGGCCACAGGACTCCAGGTTACATTAAGTGAAAAAAAAAGTCAGCCTGGGACCACATATATGTTGCCTTTTTTCTATCAAAGATGTGTGCATTTGCTTACATTTTCAAGAAGAGGCAATGGAAGTGTAAACCACAAACTAATAAAAATGGTCACACAGAAGGAAAAAACAGAATGAAGGGAATGGGAGTGGAAGCTAGGCTTATTTTCATATACTGTGTTTTATAGTTTGACTTTGGAATCATATAAATGGCTTACATGATTATTTTTTTTAAGGTTTTATTTATTTATTTAACAGAGAGACAAAGCAAGAGCAGGAACACAAGCAGGGGGAGTGGGAGAGGGAGAAACAGGCTCCCGGTCGAGCAGGGAGCCTGAACCTTAACCCAGGATCCTGGGATCATGACCTGAGCCAAAAGCAGATGCTTAACGACTAAGCCACCCAGGTGCCCTGATTATTTTTTTTTTTTTTAAGAAAATAACAAAGCATTTCTCAAAAGAAAAAAAAGGCCACTAATCAAGGTGTATCAGGAGTTACTGACATAACTACCTGGAAAAATAAGTAACTGACTTTAAAACTCATTATTTGGACTATATATCTTTTGTGTGACACATCCTCAGGATTAAAAAAAAAAACAAAAACAGCAAAGTTGGGGCACCTGGGTGGCTCAGTCGTTGAGTGTCTGCCCTTGGCTCAGGTCCCGATCCCAAAGTCCTGGGATCAAGCCCCATATCAGGCTTCCTGCACCTTGGGAAGCCTGCTTCTCCCTCTCCCACTCCCCCTGCTTGTGTTCCCTCTCTCACCATGTCTATGTCTGTCAAATAAATAAATAAAATCTTAAAAAAAAAAAAGGCAAAAAATCAAACTGCACTTAATAATAGTATTTGTTAGTAATAATCCTGGAATTGTGGTCTAGCTGTTATTGCACACATTTGTATTTCACATCTATACGTGTAAGTAAAATAGGAAATAAGTCATTGAATTGATATCGTTAGATGCCAAGGTCTTCAGTGAAAGATGAAGAGATACAAGTCTCACATCAATTATGTTAGGGGTAAGTTACATAATGGAAAATTTGAACCAGCCGTGGTAGTATGGGTCATGATCAATTTTTGTCTTTCTACAAAACACATCTGTGTTAGCTGTGTCCACTGAAAAGGCCAAGAAGTAATGGCAGTCCATTGGCTATGAGCCACCCTAGTATCCCAACTCATCATCTAAATGTCATTGCCCACTTAGAGGAACAAAGACCCCTTTAGGAGATGACGGATCTCAAAACTGGGGCAGGGATCGTGTAAGATGAGCCTGTGGCATTTTGTTACGCCCCAGAATAAGGTAGCTATCACTTACTTCTGAGGTTATGTCAAAAGAGCCCAAGAGCCAAGATAAAGGGGCGCCCTGTGACTAAAGATGCAACAGTTTGGGCTGAAGAATGAATAACAACGGACTGATTGAAATATATCAAATGTATACAAACCCATGAATGCGTAGTAGTATTTTTTAAAATCCCTCATTGTTTATTTACTCTTGTATCACCTAAGGAGCTACTTGTTTGGAAAATCGGTAAATAAGAGGGGAAAAAAATCAAGCATTTATTCTGCTATCATTTCAGGATACCCAAATAGTGTGTAAGGAAGATAAATGCAACAGAACAGTTGGAATTACAGCATCACTCTTCACAGTTGTAAAGAAACCCTGCAATAAGGCAGCGACAGCCATGCTATTAAAATATGGGTGGAGGGGCGCCTGGGTTGCTGAGTGGGGTAAGCCCCTGTCTTCAGCTCAGGTCATGATCTCCAGGTCTTGGGATGGAGTCCCACATTGGGCTCTCTGCTCAGCGGGGAGCCTGCTCCCCCCCCCTTCTCTCTCTGTCTGCCTCTCTCCCTACTTGTGATCTCTCTCTGTCAAATAAATAAATAAAATCTTTATAAAACAATATGGGTGGAGGGGGGCATCTGGCTGGCTCGGTGAGTGGGTAGAGCATGGGGCTCTTGATCTCAGGGTGGTGAGTTCAAGCCCCATGTTGGGCGTAGAGATTACTTAAAAGTAAAAATAAAAAGAAGTATGTTGGTGGGAAACTTAAAATGGCACGATCAAGCTAAAAACCCTAAACCCACTGATTTATCTTAACATCGCTGAGCGAGACAGACAGATGCCACATGACTCCCGTTGCAATGCAAAAGGAAGTACACAGCGTCTACGAAATGTTCTTGCACAAACATTGAACCTGCATCTAATCGAACTTCTAGATCTAACTACCAAATGGCGAGAAATATGGGGGACAAAGAAACAGATGAAAGGAGACGACGACGGTTTGAGCAGCTGAATCAGGATGTGGGAAGTTCCAACCACCCAGTTCTTCAATCAGTGACGAGCGTGAAAGAAATGGAGCAGAGGGAGAACTGATCAAGATGAAAAGTTCTTAAGGACATCTCAACCAAATGCAGTGTCAGATCTTGTTCTCCATTCGTTAGAAAAAGACATACTGAAGGCAATTGGGAGAAATTTGAACATAGACTCGTTATTAGGGTGTTAATATAATTTGTCATCTAAACAGGAAATGTTGAAAGTTAAAGGGTACAAAGGTGTAAATGGGCTCTGTCCAGGCCAACCTGATTACCCTGGTGTCGCACAACAGTGTGGAATTATTGTTAATTTTTAGATTGACAACGTTATTATGTTTATTTTTATAAGCTTTATGTCAGAAAAGCAATTCTCTAAACTTTTAGTCTGAAGAACTCTTTACACCTTTAAAAATGACTGAGTCATACTCCCAAGGATATCTAGCATCAAGAACGCTGAAAATAACAA